ACTAGAGTCAGTGCATCGCGTATTGAAATAATAGCTTCATCCCTAGTTCGTTTATTATTGAATATTTTTACGCGTTTAACTTGTGCTTGTCGCCAATTCTCGTTGGGGAATTTTATTAAAATTTTGTTATATTGTGGAATCGAGAAAGATACGAATTCGCGTTTTTTCTTTTGATTCTTTCAATTTTTCAATTGCATTACGCATTATTGCAATAATTTCTATCGTTACATTTAATTCTAATTGTTTAGCAGCTTTTCTGCTGCTATCGACCCTACATTTTACTGACACTTGTGGAATCGACCCTACATTTTTTTTTTTTTACGTGGAGGTAGGCCGACTCTATGTGATAAACAATTTGCAACCAAACGGTGGCTCTCCCTCTCTACATTCGACGAATAATGTGTACAGGTTACTTAATGTAATTTTTTAGCAATTTGTTTTTGTAATTCATCCAAAGCGATATATTATGAAATTAAATTAATCACTCAATATGTATTAACATTAGATTGTTTCCTCGATATGGCCATGGTGGTCATCAGTGACTGGAGTGCTTCAAATGTTGTACAATCTTATATGTACATCAAAATTGAGATAGAAATTTAGAAATTGATGACTGAAAATATTTATAAAATTAAGAGCTTTCGAATGATATATACATCGATAAAAATAATCAGCAAATAAATTTATCATGAATAAAGAAAAGAGAAGAAAATGAGGAACAAGAATCTAATAGAGTGAGAATAGTATAAAAATGAAATAAATATTCGACAACAATGAAATACAAGTTTGTCACATTAAATTTGCATACACACAGTCATTTTTCCAATATAATTAACCAGAATTCCTAGAATAAAAATGTTAACGAGTGACATGAAAGTCAGAAGGGAAAGAAAAATCGACAACTTCATTATCATTTGAAACGTTTTATTGTCAACGTTAATTGCAAACGTCTACATTGTAGAAATTTGTGTGAAATACATTTCGAGTTTTGCACCCTGCGTAAAAGGGACTTGTAGAGAGTCGTGCAATTTCGTAAACGTGAGATTAGAGTAAAAACATTTTACAGTAGGTACATTATGCTTCGTAATATCGTATAAATTCGTTACATATCCTTAACTCATCTTCACCAATTTTTAAATTCCTTGCTAATCCAACAAGCGACATTCAATTGTATTTGCCTGATTCGTTGATTTCTAACTAAATACTAACATCGATTTATCACACAGTTGTTAAATCGTGTTTAATAGAATCATGTTGGTAAGTATGTAACGCAATACGCGAGATATTCTGTTGTTCAATAACATTATTAATAATATGGAATAATCGGGGCCGATTATATTCTGCGCCGAAGCTAATCTTATAGTAATCTGTTTCACCCTGCCTAAAAGGGATAAATAAAGTTAGTCATGCTACGGTGCTCATCTAAATCCATCTTGTATCAGGGCCATTAGTGCGCGTGATTCTTAAGCACTCGCGATATTACGCGCCGCGCTTTGATAACGTTTAATCGTAAGTAACTGTTTTAATTATCTGTCTTGCACCCTGCCTGAAAGGGATAAAAGATGGTCCTAATCGCCAAACTTATCACAAGGAACACGTCAAAATGTTTGCATTCAATTCGTAGATTAATAGAATGCTTTTTGTAACACGAAATAAATTCATATCGTACAATTTAGCGATCTTTCCAAATTATACGAAGCAATTAAATATAAACATTGTTCATCTCATATTTTACATGACTTCGTGCGGTAACGATAATCTACGAATTGAACAATGTCATTAAAATTTCGGTAATTGTATATAACAGTTTACACTTTTTTTTTTTTTTGCTTTTTTTTTGTTATATGACACCATTTGGCGACGAAGAAATGTATAATTTACGATTAATTTACAATCTATCAGTCTCAACGTTCAACCCTGCCTAAAAGGGAAAAAAGATGGTCATGCGAGTTTGCTCTTTACACAGTTTGATGCCCTAACTAACATGCACGCGTCACTGTTTCTCGATATTTCGTCAAATTGTTAAATCAACATCGAGAAATAGCGAGTGGAAAATATTTGCATTATTCTTCATCAAAATTGCTTCCGGTGATGCGAGTTACCTTGATCAAGATTTCGTCGTATTTTCTCGGTAAATGATGGAAATGATGGATCGAAATTTTGTAAGAAAATTTGAAAATTAAGAAATTTCGAAAAGATTTGAAAATTTGGTCAAATCTCTAAGTTAACATGAAGAAATCGCGAGTAATAAAAATTTGTATTAAATTTTCGTTAAAATTGCTTCTATTGATATTACTTGCCTTTGGCATGTTGTATGATTTCTCTATCGTTGTTTGGGCAAGTGAGAAATCTGTGTTTACCGTCACTAACGAGAATGACTTTTTAATTAAACGAACTTAAGAACGTACACTGCTGTTCATAAGTATTAGTAAAATACTGTATGATTGAAATTACGTTTCTTCGCCAATTTTAGTATCGTATCGTCACTTTAATACTACAATTAGACATCTTAAACTCATTAGTAAATCATTGGAGTTTTGAAATGAAAAATTTTAGAATTTAGAATTTAAGATTCCACTTTTAATATTTCCAGATGACGTTGAAATTGTCTATTTTTAACATAACACAGTTGCAAGGAAAATATAACTTTTGACACTCTCATCCAGAGAATCTCAATTTACGAAAATTAGGGAAGAAAGTTAAAGATTAGAAAAATTAGAGATTTTTTTAAACTTACGAATGGAGTTATAAATGAAGTACGAATTATCTAATAGTAGTATTAAAGTGACGATACATCAGTAAAACTATATATATTCTTTTTATATGTATAATACTACGAGATTCTAAACTGAATAATATTTTTTTTTTGGATATTAACAATTTTTTTTTACTACACATTCGGTAAGTATCGTAATACTTACGAACGGGAGTGTACGTTTCACCGTAATCAACGACGAAATCTGATTACAAAATCTCTCCAGCAGTCTTATCACCTTATCTGAAGCAAAATTGGAATATAAGGGCCCTCGCTTAAAAATTAAAACCTTACAATCTAAGTTACTAGGACAAAATGCAAAGGGATATAGTCATTTAAGAACATTTTACGTTTCAGTGTTAGAGACATTAGGGAAAAATCTCTTCGATCGAAATTTGAACAAATGCCCTTGTCTCTTCTCGACTGTAAAATGAAATCAATTCATGCTAACGTGAACGCAATTAAGATAAATACGTGTACATTTCACAGACTAAGCAGAAGATGTTCTGCTAAAAGAAAAACAGTTACACAGAGATTCTCATTTTGTTTTCTGTCGAAACAATTGCTCACTGTTTCTTACGAATATTTGTTAAAATTTTCAATTAAATCGCACAGCGTGAAATTGTTCAACTGTGTATCCGACATGAGTATATCATAAAACAACGATAAACGATATTAATATAAAAGAAAATTCCCCTTTGTTGCACGTTTCCTTTCGCCGTTCCATCCGCGCTCTTTTCACATTTCAAATTGCAAACGTTCACTTAAAAGAACATCAAAGCAATCGAACAATATTCCATTAACGATTATTTTGGTAACAAAGATGCGTATCTATGCGAAAGGTTACATTCGATTAATTTCCCAAAGATTATATCGCGATAATCACACTTATTCCCGAGTGAAATTCTGTGTACTTAAGTAAATACGATCAGAACAATGTTTCGTCGATTCGAATCGATTCATCTTCCATTGTTTCATATCGAACACGTTCTAAACTATCGTACTCACGTGAATTTCTTTCATACTCTTCGGCTGTTTCTTCTTCTTACAATTCAGCTCCTCCTGAATCTCCAACAGCGACTTTCCCTTCGTTTCCGGGACCATGAAGATAATGAAGATAATTCCGAGGAAGCAGCTAGCCGCGAACCAACCGAAAGACGTGTAAACTCCGCAAGAATCGGAAACAACCTGATACATCTTCGAGACGATAAATGCCAACAGAGAGGCCCACAGATTCGCCATGGAAACGGCAACTCCTTTAATGTTAGTCGGGAAAAGTTCTCCTAGCATCATGTAAGACAACGGGTTCAATCCTAACGCCATAATCAACTCGTAGAAGATTATAGAGGCATGAAGAATCCAACCGAAACCAGCCATGTCCACGGACATGTAGAATTTCAACAGATAAAATGCTCCAGCTACGACCAAAGACAGCCCTCCCAGCAAAGTTGTCACGAGAAGCAACGGTTTTCTTCCCACGTTGTCAACCAAAGCTGCAGCTCCGACACCGGCGACCAACTGAAGAACGCTCAAAACGATCACCGCAACGCCGGCAGATAAGCTGGTGTTAGCTTCTTCGAGGATTTCCTGAGTGTAAGACTCTATAGCAGCCAGGCCGCTGAATTGCAGGACCAATTGAAGACCGAAACTGATCAACACAGCCTTTCTGTTGCCCGGAATATCGAATAGATCCCAAATGTGTCCTTTATCGGTGAGATCGCGAATCACGGTTTTCTGCATTTGTTGCAGGTCTTCCTCCAATTGTTCCTCCGTCGCGTATCTCTTGAGACATTTCAGACTGCTCATCGCTTTAGTCTCGCGATTCTTCATCAACAGATAGTAAGGTGATTCCGGCATCCAGGTGAACGTCAGGAAGAACAGTACAGGTATTACAGCACAGCTGTAAGCTAGACAATTGTACGACACGAATGGACCGATCGCGTGAGAGTACAATTCGCCGAAAGTTACCATCAACTTGATGAAAGACCCGAGGGATCCTCTGATATCTTTGTCGGCGATCTCACCGATGTACATAGGGCAAACGACGTAGGCTAGGCCAACTCCAAGGCCGCTGATAAATCTGGAGATGTAGAGGACGTAAGGGTGCCAGGCGACGATGATCAAGATCCAGCTAACGGTCAACGGTACTCCTGCTATCAGGAGGCAAATTTTACGGCCCAGCCAATCTACGATGAAAGCTGCGAGGAAATTGCCAGGTACAGAGCCGAGGAGAGCCATCGAAGCGATCCAGGATGCGTCGTCCGAGGTAATCAGCACGTGGGAGTCTGGAGATTTCAATTTTGGTAATATCGGGGACGTCCAGCCTATGTGAGAGCCCGACATTGCCATTGATAAGGTGGCTAAATGAGAAAAAAGTATGTCGCATGTGTGACAACGTGAAGATATTAGGTCATACTGAAAGTTCACGCTTTGCTAATTTATTAGCTAAAGTGTATTACACGTTGTGGAAATTGTTTTAGATAGAAATGTTTCGTTTTGGTGGAGTTTTGGTGGAGCTAATAGAAACATCGAGTTGAGATTTTTAACTACGTATGTTATTTATATTTTATCCAGATTACGTTTTAAATATAGAACGTCGACGACTTATCTCAAGAACTAATAGTGATTTAATCAATTAATAAGCTCAGGTAAAGATAGGCGTAAGTGCGAGACGTGCAATCTGATTTTATTCCGTTATCTCTGAGGATTTATCGTGATTTAATCAATTAATAAGCTCAGGTAAAGATAGGCGTAAGTGCGAGACGTGCAATCTGATTTTATTCCGTTATCTCTGAGGATTTATCGTGAAGATTATTTGTCTTGGAGCTTGGTACAATGTGTGCTTTAAAAAATATTGCCTTTTGAGGGGAACACATACTTTTGAGAATTTAATTTCTCTTTTTCTTATTTAGGGAAATAAGATTTTTACTGGGGAATTAACTTTTTATTAACCTGACACGTTATTAGAACGCGTGTTTTTTTGGATTATTGGAAGCTGCGAGTGTTTTGCAGTATATGCGTTAAATAAAAAGCGTATTGTTGCAATATGAACAGTTTGGTTTAGAGATAACTTATCGAAGAATTTTGAACATTTTAAAGTGTTAAAGAGATCCGGGTTTTAGGGGACACCGAGCTTTCGAATAATCAATTATTTTGTGTCTTTATAATTCTGTCATTCTGTGCGAATTACTTATTTGTACTAGATAAATTTCAATATTGATTGTAACTTTTGTAAATTTAAAACAGTAGCACTGGCGATTGAATTCGAGCTTCAACAATCTTAAATCTATATTCAAACTTTAAGACTCAATTTTTCAAAAATATGCGAGGTGAACGTCCTACTTTTTGCCACAAAAATGCCAATAGGTAACAACACTGTGATTGTTCAAAAACTGATAGAAATTGGTTACCTCAAAAATATGTGCTCTTCGTGTTAGCTTTTCTTTGACAGAATAGACACAGATACTAAAGAACCCACTTTTCATTCGTTAATAATTGAAAATTTTTCACATTAAGTACTTTTCATTTCTAGTCTCTGAAACTTAACATTTGTTAAAATTGTACTACGTTTCGTATATTTTAATCACCTTTCAAATACGTCGAATAATAAAATAATTAACATATATAGTTAAAAGCTCGTTGAAAATAATATATCTGTGTATAATAATCTCCTAATAACGATTGAAAATTACCTGTAATCGCTGCTAAATACTGCGGCCACCTCTTAACGAGCGATTTATCCATCTTTCTTATTTCTTCTTTCACGGACTATAATATCGAACGAATATTACACGAAATTACTACAATTATTCTAATTGCAGAAATAATTATTTCTTCAATTTTTTGCATCAAGTTAATAAGAGATAAAAATAAGAATTTCCCGGAAATTTCTCGTGTAAACTGTGTGTGTGAAATTTTGCACAGAAATATTTACACGAAAAATAAACTTTCGTATAAATAATTGAAACATTATTTCATAGTACTCGAATTGAAGTAGAAACGTACGAGTTCATAGAGAGTGAAAAATTTGCTTTTGCAAATTTGATTAACGATAAGTTAGAGTTGATGTGATGCTTACAGAGATAGCGATGAAACGTAACGATGCCACCAGGAAAAACAACGATTTCACGCTGGCGTTCCTCTTTTCACCACATTATAGGCAGAATGGAAGCTTGATCACGATATACTATGTTTTGTATGTCGGTTTATCACCTCCTCTGTTATCACTATCGAATCTTGTACAAACCCCACTCTGTGACTTAAAGAAGTCATTGATGATTTTTTCAAAATACGGAAATAATAAAAGAGGAAGGCGAAGAAAACATTAATGGAACACGAGGGAAACGGTGGAAAAGGCGAGAAAGAATTCCAGAAATGTTAGAAAAGTTGATAATTATATGTTTTCGAAATGCAAAAATAAAAAAAAGAAGGAAGTGAAGAAAACATTAATGGAACACGAGAGAAAAAGGGAGAAAGGTGAAAAGGAATTCCAAAGATATTAGAAATGTTGGTAATCATATATTTTCGAAATACAGAGATAAAAAGAAGAAAATAAAGAAAACATGAATGGAACATGAGAGAAAAAGGGAGAAAGGTGAAAAAGAATTCCAAAGATATTAGAAAAGTTGGTAATCATATATTTTCGAAATACAGAGATAAAAAGAAGAAAATAAAGAAAACATGAATGGAACACGAGAGAAAAAGAATTTCAGAAATTTCAGAGGTATCAGATTGTAAATTAATGTGTGTAATATTTATAGTACGATTATATACGTTAATAACTGTTTATTACATTAAGTAGAAACATTAGCAACTTTGGATAACGATCAGATATATTACTTTATTAATCTAAGACATGGAAGGTACGCAGATATAAAAAGTTATACTTATAATTTTGTAACGAAAATATGTATACTTTTTTAATAAAGCCAAATTTTCACGTCATTACAACACTTACAACCGCAGAAATGAAAAGTTAAAACATTCTAAAAAAACGAAGGTTACACAAGTTACTCGAAGAAGCAACTTATAGCAGGAGAAAAGCTTGAAACCTTGCAAAACCTAACTGTCTTGATAAACATCGTTCTAAATCTTTTCAAACAGTTTTACGAGAGAACGACTTTCACGGAAAAATTCTCGTGAAAGATATCGCGTATCAGGAAAAGTAAATTTGAACAATTGGTGTCTACCGTTAAAAATATCTCACCTAGCGAGATTTATTAAATTTAGCGTTGTTGCAAATACTTATTTATTTTTTATAATTTACTTTTAGTATTTTCATTCACGTTTGCTACCTTGCTGTGTTAGTAAAACATTCGCCTGAAAAGTATAAAAGTATTCGCCTGTGTCTGTATATCCTTTTTTGTAATTTTAATTTGTAATTCTTGTAATTTTAACAGTGTTGATAAATTCGCTCCTAGTACCTTCAATTTGCATGTGCAAGTGCCAAATATTTAAACTCACGAATGAATTACCGTTGTCGTATATATAAATTGTAACGTTTGAAATTTTTGTTACGTTGAATAATAATATAACTAAAATTTAAATAACACCTGAAAACTTTGTAGAAGTTTCCTGTTTAACAAGCAAATAACACACCTGTGTACGTTATCTCTGACGCTGAATTTCAATTCTACGCGACGTATATTTAACCTCCACACGTGACATCGACGGAACTTTTATGATACTTATGTTTTTTGTGCCAGAAGCTAAACACTTCTCGGAAGCAAGAAGAGCATTATACGTGAAATTTTTCACTTCGATTCAAACTCATCGAGTTAACGTAAAATTTGGCAAATTTCGATAAAAGTAAATACATTTGTACAAATTATTCGAGCTCTTGATATTTCTACTAACGATATTTCTTTTTTTTACTTAAAAGAAAAATAAATTAATTTAGTTTGTAATTACACGTTCGATCGTTTTATCTTATATTTTCCCAAGTGTTGTATTATCGTGATTAATTTCACTGCTTACATTTAAATGATATACTCTTGAAATAATGATTGATTTACTTAAGAATTACGAGTTAATTTACAAATTTACAGTTACATTAAGTAAGAAATGAAATTTTAAATATACATATAAAAATATCATACCGGATGTAACACGTAACAACAATGTTAACACAAAGCAGTATATATTTTGTTATATCTACGTGAACATTGTACGTTACGTTCATCAAGGATAGGATTTCTGAAATTTCGCGCGTAATGTTTCGAGAAATCGAATTGTTCCAGTGCATGCGAGACATAGCAGGGAGCAGTCGCAAATTGTCTGCCTTCGGTAAATGGGTGGTGAGGTATTCATTCATTGAACGAGTCAATGTATATGGATTTTTCTTATTAATTCGTGGTATTAGCAAGAAGGTACTGAAATTCTTAGGATACTGTGATTCAACGAATCAATAAACTATCCTCAAGTGTTGCAGTACGCTAAGAGAACAAAACCCATATACAAAGATGTGCGGTGGCTTTACGTGCTCCAAAAACGCATTGACGGCGCTAAACATCCTTTATATCGTAAGCAGAACTTCCGAAAATAGAGTGCTTTGTACCACTTCGAACAAATACGTTTTAATGTGATCGTATTTTTATTTGACTTTTCAAATACAGCTAAAATAATTATTTATATTCTTCACCGGTGTTTAAACATAGTGTTTCTTCGTATTTGTAGTTAAACAAATGTTTTATTAAACTTGAATATTTTAATACCGTTGTAACCAACTGTAATTTGTTAATTCACTTAAATTAAAAGAATGGGATAATATCAATAAATTTGTACAATTGATGTTTCTTTTTTTTTTTTAATATTCATGAAAAATGTATGTATGTTTACAAATATTTCACTCTTCTCCGGTGTATTCTCAAATTTCGAAAATTTTTATATTAAATGATATGTTAATATTTTAGGTTGTTGCGTTTATCTTAATTGGTGTAGCTGTTTATGGAAGAGCATCTGCATTAGTTACAAATCTTCCTATAATTGGAGGTATTTTAGTATGTGGGGTTATTTTGATACTTATTTCCATACTTGGTCTAATTGGTGCTGCTAAACACCATCAAGTTCTACTGTTCTTTGTATCCTTTTACAAACGTGTAAAGTTGAATAATACTTTTCATTGAACTATTATACGTATGTAATTACTTATATGTATTTTTGTAGAGAATGAAAAACTGCATGAAACAGTACCTCCTAAAAGCACAGAGTTCTAATGAAGGAAAAGCTACAATTGCAGTTTTCAAATCGTGACAAGTGCATAAAATTAATATAGGGATATGCAATATCTCTTTCCTTTATAACATTTTTTCTACCTCTAACCATTTTAAATACAGCTTGTCCATGTTGCATTGGGCATCCTGCATATTATATATAACAGATATTTTATATACTTTTAATCATTTATATTTAGGAAAACTTCAATATAACATTATCATTTTATATTGCAAGCATTTATTGCTTCTGTTAATTATTATATACCTATGGAGTAAGTATGTTCCCTTTTTGTAAAATGGAACATATATATAATTAAACATACCAAAATTTGAAGTTTGCATTAATAATTTAAAAAAACAAACGTTTTGTGCATCATATGTTTCTAATATATTTCTTAACAGAATTTATACAGTACATGCTTATTTTGTTCCTGTTATTCCTGATTCAATTCAGTATTGCTTGCGCTTGTCTTGCTGTTAATACACAATGTTGAACCACATTTAAGAGAAAAGGTTGAAGATACTTTTAATTGTTGTGGATTTAATGAAACTGTAAGCGCAACTTCAGATGATCAAGGCTCGTTATTTTGCAAGAATGTAAGTATAATGTAATGTAGTTCAAAAATAGTAACTATATTAATAACATGGAAGTCATTTAAATATGCTCACATTAAGTTATACATATCTACTAAAAATTCTTTATTACTTTCTTTCAATTTTTCAGAAACATTGTTGTCAATATCCTACAGACACAGACTGTGAATGTCCATTATGTATGCAAAAATTGCAATCCACAATTGATTATGCTTTTAAATTATGTGGCAGTATAGGATTATTTTTCAGCTTCACTGAGGTAAATTCTAGAGATTATTATTTCGTGTCGTATTTATTTAACACATATTCATATAAAATATGCAATGTGAGAATTTGATATGCTGCTTAAAACTTACATTACATTTGTGAATTGTTCCATTTTATGAAAATAAACAATGTTATGTAGAAAGTCTTAACTTATATAACCGTTACAGTTTGTTGGTGTTTGGTTGACCGTGCGATACAGGAATCAGAAAGATCCACGAGCTAATCCTAGCGCTTTCCTCTAGTCTAACACCATCGTTATGTCCTCTGTCACCTTATATGATCCTCCTAATAGATGGTGGGTGGTTTCATGTTGTGATTCTTTATTTTATACATCGAAATTCCAGGAAATATTTTTTGTCGGTCGCATACTTTATGTACAACGTAACATTATATCACACTTATGAGGTTCAATATATGTACTCATTTTACTAAACTAAAAAATTAATATGTATTATTGATTGAACATAAACCATATATATTTACATTTTTCAGGTGATTGCAGCTTTCACAGCAAGATATTACAGAAATCAATTAAATCCACACCAGAAAGCTGTTGTTTCTTAGCATAATTATTTTTATTAATATGATTCATGTAGTTTAAATATCAAAGCTAACTTTATTCTTTTCTCCTATTTAACTTACTTTGGTTTGAATTTAGGAGTATTGAATTATTAGAAACCAAAGACCTTAATTTTAATTTTGCAATACAAACATCATCTTGCATATAATACAATTCTCAAGGAACTATTTGTCTTTCACCGCAGTTTATAATGCTAAACGAAAAAAAAAAAACACTACATTTGGAAAGTAAACAGTTATAGATTTTAGAATGGATTAAACAAATAACAGTTGAAATGTGTGCTCTAGTCATCCAATTAGAACAATTGTACTAAGCCTTGTAGCTTAATACTTAGATATATTCATGCAAGTGCGTTTCTGCAATATTTATTTTGTTTATTTACAAAGAAAATTTTATAAGTATCATCCATCATTATCAATAAATTTATTTCCTATCGATAAACTACACAGCTTAAAAAAGTATTTAGTAGTAAATATGCTTCGACAAAATGTAAACTATTTCCCTAAGTATTTTAATTTCATCTGATTTGATCAAATTTTTTTTCGTTACGATATCTAATAACATTTTCATAACATTCATGTATATTTTTGTAAACTACTTAATCGTAGATTATGTAATGACATAGAAATTTTTATAACAACTTTAATTTTATTCAATTAATCAAACAAATTTAGATCAAATTACTTTTCATTAAGTTATTGTAACGAAAAAACGCATCTTCATTGCAAATCATAAAATATTAATGATATCTCGCTTAATGAATTAAACATATTAAACCTGTTAAAATGAAAATTAAAATAAGGTGCGATAATTAAGATATTACACATAGGAATCGTACATCTTCACGTATTATTATAATACTGCCGTATATATTATAATAATATCATAATCATCACGTTGCTAACTTTATATTTATGACCTGCTTCCTATAATTTTTATATTTTCTTCTCTCATTATAAAAATGTTTAGATTGTATGCCTAAATATTATGTACAATGTGGTTCAAAAATATTGTCATTAAAACTATTGAATTATTCTACAAGACCCTATAATAAATTATAATAACATCATCACATTAGTAATAAATCATCAGAAATTTAATAAAATACTCGTTAATCATATAAGTTTATTTTACGGTTGATTTAAATTTTAAATTAAAAAAAAAACGGAATAATATATTACACTTGAAATACTGATTGGATATTGCATAACAAAATAAACATCTTGATGAAGTATGTATGCCTTTAAATTATGCATGCTTTTAAACTGAATATTAGTTTTTTTATTAATTTTAAATTTGAGCAAAACGATAATAATATCTAATAATTAAAGCATAATTAATGTTATGCTTCAACATTTTCATTGAAACTTAATCTTTTATCTTATTATCAGACTGTTGATATTTATGCAAAAAAGTGTTTTTCATATACATGTCTTGCACATTTTACATTTATTATTGATAAATAAATATATTAAATATTTCATATATATTT